TTGCAATTCTGTGCAACAGGAATTCCAGATCTTTTGTTTACAAGTGGCAGCTGTTACCTTTTCAAATTCACTATCATCTATCAATGTGTCCTGTGATAGTGATTGATTCCTAACTGCATGTAATCGTATCACATACAATTACATGCAGTGTGCCAGCATTCTGCCACTTTCAAATGTGGCCCATGTCACCCGATCATTAACTTGAACGGGTGACAGCTGCTACTTGTAGACAGAAGATTTGGAATTCCTGAAGCACAGAATCGCAAGTCTCTGCTATAGGAATTTCAAACCGCATCTATTTGGTAGGTGTGAATGAGGCCTTATTCATGTTGAAATGGTAAAGAATAATTATAGTTAAAGTTTTTTTTGATGGATGGATGGATGTGGAGCAAATTGGTTGCAGTCAGCTTTTGTAACGCACTGTACCGCAACCCAGTCAGCTCCCTGTATTCAGGGGCAGGAGGAGAAATATGTACAAAGTTAGTGGAGATCCCTACTTGATTCCCACTGTAACTCATGTCACCAGTGTCTGTGAAAGCTCTCATTCATCCAGGTCATGGTATATCTGTAAAAAATAAGTCAAGGCAACTGGACTTGCTGTATTTTTCTTGAAGACCTAGGATGCGTAGAAGACAGTGAAGTATGCATCCTAGACAGGGAGGAGGACTGGTTTAAAAGAGGTGTAAAAGAGGCCATTTATGTAAAAATGGAGAAGCCAAGCTTGAATAGAGGTGGGGGGTGAGACATCTATTGTCTGCCACATATAATGCTGTTTTAACACCTCTCTCGCTGGGCGGGCTAATAACACCTCCTAGACTCCAATTATGCAAGTGCAATCAACACCTGGTTGTGACTAACTGATTATGTGGATTGGAGCAACATTCACCATATTTATTCCCAGAGGATTTTTTTGTCCGGTACAAGTCATTCTGAATTGAGAAAGCTGGTCGGATGTTTAGTGAAAAGTCTTCAAGAAAAATACAGCAAGTAGTATACAGCAAGTAAGTTGCCTTGACTCATTTTTTACAGATATATCATGTCACCAGTGGAAAATCCCATCTTCACCTTCTGCTTTGGTGACAACTGTAAACTTTTGGATTTCCCGTCATTTTCTGTCCAGGTGGCAATGGTTATCAAGAGAAAGGGCAAGGGTGAGTCTTTCAAGTGGGGACAATAAACAGCAACTAAAGCTGAACTCTAGGAGACGTAAATATTGTTCAGATACAAGAGACATGTATATTCTTATATATGAATCTTGGTGTGTTTTCAGTATTTATTCCAGATCTGTATAGGTATACAATGTGAAACTTTGGGGTTGATTTACTAACCTTAAAAACACACCACGAGCATGTATCCACCTCTGTAGTTTGTTCCCTCCCAGCATGATCTATGGGTGGAATCTAAACACCTTTGTAATGTGTACACACCCAGCAGGTGTGTTGTGCAAAGCCCTGAAGGAATTCCAAGGTGATGTTGGGTAAATTAGCTCTATGTTGTGTTGCTTGCGTTGATGAATGCAAGGAATGTAAATGCATGAGCTAACCATTTTTGTCTAAACTGTGAAGCAGCATTATATATGCATCATGTGCATGATTTTTACATATATGGCATTAGTGGAAATATGCTTTTAGAGACTTTTTGGTTGATAAATACGTTTTGCTGTGTGAAAATCACACACACCTGGTGTGTGTGTGTGTGTTTAGGTTAGTAAATCACCCCCTTTGCCTCTATGCAGGAGCTTCCTGTAATAAAGATCAGTCACTGCAGCTCACTCTTCTTGTGTAGGGAGACTGGTCTTGTATCGCCTCCTCCTGTAGTTTTCTGCAGGCAGCCTAGTGTGGTGGGTGGATCCTGCTGGACCCACCCACAGCTCTGCTCTCTACACAGGCTATGGGCAGCATAATAATGATATCCCTGTTACTTTTACCAGGTACTATCTGGGTTTGCAAAGGCATTTAGTGCACACAAAGGGTTTACATCCCTTGTGGCTGTGGAGGAATATAGTAAATTAAATGAATAAATCTTTTTTGCGCCCCAACAGAGACTCTTAACTTTTACCCACCCAAAAAGGAAAGGTTTTGGCTACAGATAATCGTTAACCCTAGCATCTATCCTTTATGTATTGTTTGCCATTTAATGTAACAGGCAGGAACAAAATAAAAATGTGCAAAAATGTGTGCAGGCTGCCAAATGAGTGCTCCTTTTTATTAAAAGAAAGATGTTTTTTTGTTCTGCAAACATTTGTAGCTGTAGCCAAAAAGTGTTAATGGTTTACAAAATGCAGCCCAAATCACAGGCACTGAGCCATTTTCCGATCTCTGCAGCTGTGGACCGGGAACATGTCTCAGTGCCTGTAATTGGCCCTGAGCGCTGACGGCTTCCTGGCGGGCTCGGCACGAGGCGCTTGCGAACACGCCCGAGCTCATCACTAATCAGGAGTAGGAAAAGGTCACGTCGTGCTGTTCTCCCCAAAAAAAGGCGCATACTTCACAGGTTGGTGCAGGGCTTTTCTGTGCTGAAAATCACAAGCTACACGCCAGTGGTGTGAAAGCGGACTAAATTAGGATAAGTTAATTTGATAAATGTTTTCTAATTGCCGTAAAAAGATGCAGTTTGTATATGTAAATATATTTGTATACCAAACTTCCAAAAAACTGCACAGCAGAGCGCTCAGCTGACCCCAGCTGAGAAATTCTTCATAGCCAATTGTTGGAGGATAGGCTGCCGTCCTTAAGGCCACTGGGAAGTATCCTCACAAGACATGCAAAACAAGTAAAACAGACAGCGCCTTCTCCTCGTATGATAACTTTTATTTAAATGGAGTAAATAGAATGACATAAAAAGCTACTCACATATTAGCATAGGAAATGCACAATAAGATACACAGTGGGTCCAAGAGAAGACCAACTAGCTGACACGTTTTAGGGGAGATTCCCCCTTCTTCAGAGCTGCTTTGTAGCATTTTCTATGCTAACATGTGAGTAGCTTTTTATGTCATTTTATTTACTTAATTTAAATAAATGTTATCATACGAGGAGAAGGCGTTGTTTGTTTTTACATGTGTGTATACCACATTAAACACTCAAATATTTTCCAACCTGCCCAAATGATTCCTTTCTACTTGATCTTAAAGTGCAATTTTAGCATACTAATCCTCCAGTGTCCATCCTTTCCCTAATAAGATATATTTGCCCAAACCGTTTTACTGATTGTGCAGAAGGCCAGATACCTCACAGCTCAGTTTGAATGATACCATTAAAAAAATCCTTACCTGCATTTATGTGTTTAGAATTGTCCTCCAAATGCATATAAATGCAAATTTGACACCGTCGGTGTAAATTAGGCCTTAAATTTAGCAAACAAATAGTAAAGGCACAATAAAATGTGCAGTGTTATTTCTAGGTTTGTTCCCTGCAAAGGTTGTTGCATGGATGGATCTGGAATAGTCTTTATTTAAACTGTATCTGTGCTCATTTATAAGATAATGGGTCAAAAACATTAATCTTTATATTTGGAATGAACCTTGTGCTGAATTTACTGTATTTTAGTTTTTACTAAATGTTTATTTTATGTTATTACATCACTTTGCCTACATTTTGTCCCTCCCACACTATTACCTCTATGCTTGTACTGACCATGGTTCCCGGGCATCCACTTTCTGGATGCCGTATAATAAAAGCATATGCTTTTACCCTGTAATGTTTCTCTTACCATGGAAATGGACTCCGTGGTCAAACAAGGAGGGTTTGGATCTTTAGTGTAGGCCTGGATTGTGCCAAGTTAAACTGTTAAATTGTGCTGAACTCCGGGCAGATATAAAAGACACAAATTTGTGCAGCTCTGTATTTATTAATACATCCATAAATCTGTTTCTCGAGTTCAAGTATTGCATGTACCCGAATTGACTTGGTCACAGCCTTTTGCTGTCCTATTACAGAAGATCTCAGACTGGGGGTGGTGGATGAAGACACAACACAGCAATCAATTTTGCTGCAATGCTGATAGGAAGAGAGAGAATAGAGTGTCGGAGAGATAAACAAATCAGTCTGCTGCTTGTCCTTATACTGTCCTGTTACAGGGTAGGGGTGGGAAGGAGACCTGCAAGAGTTACTGAATTGCAGCAGAAAAGTCTTCTGCCCTACCAGACAAATCATTACTGTGTCGCAGAACTGTAAATCATTTGGCTGGTAAAACCTGCATCAACTTTGTATTTAATCTGCATTGAATACGGCTTCAAATTTAGGAGTACAGGTACTCCTAGAACTCCTAATAGGTTGGACTTGTTGGACTAATGTCTTTATTCAACCTCAAATACTATGTAACCACAACAGAGGTTATTGGAATCCAACATGAGACAGCAGCACAGAAAAAAAGATCCATGTTTGCACTCTCTTCCGCCTGCAAAGGTAAAGAATAAATGCAGTTTTAGAGCTCAGAATTCTGTGTGTTAGCTATAATCCCACCTCCCCCTCCATATCCACCTAGGAACTTACCATCTGAGTATAATGCCCCTTTATTAATTGTTAAGGCAGCAATAATTTAGCATGTGTCCTTTTTGAAACTATTGTGACTTGTTTGTAACATGTTAATGGAAATAGCCTGAATGAAATATGTCAGGATACAGATACTGAATAGATGATTTTGAATAGCATTATCTTGGTTGATTGCATAAGCAATACCTTTTACTGCTGGAATAACACCTTAACAGCACAATAATGACGACATGACAATGTATGTAAATCAAGAACTGCATGTGGGTTTATTTCACACTTGAGAAAACAGTAGATTTAAGTGTGTGAACCAAAATGTACTGTACAATATTAATGATAGAACATCAAAATGTATAATTCATAGTGCATTACTTTATTTTGTATTTATTTCAATTTTTTTGTCAGTTTCTTTTGTACGTGCATCTGAAAAGATGCAGGCGCCAGTAAAATTTCTCTGTTTAAGTCAATCTGCAGGAACTTAATTTTATTCAAAAATGTGATTTTTTTTTAATACATTTTATATACATAGGAATTGAATATAAAATGACAATATAAAAGTTCAAAGTGAAAGCATACAGCCAGAAGGTACAAAGAAAGCAGAACTGTTTCAAATGGTATATTGTAACATGTATTCTTAAATTATTATCTTATATTTACAGGAAACAGAATCCAATATTTGTCCCAGGCTGTTCTATTATTTTGTCCACCAGAAGGACCTGTGAAGTATAAATTTAAACCCTTGGATGCCTGACTGCTCAAGTGGTTAAGATAACCTCTGATGCTCAAAATGGTTAACCTGCTGGTAGCAAAAGAGATCAAAATGCAGCACTGCTGTAGGAACTCATAAGCTTGTACCAAAGCTTACATTGGCAAATAATTATAAACTGTAATATTCATCTTGTAAAACAAGAAATAGTTTCTACACATGTAAATAACATATTGGCATACAGAATTCTGCCCAAGTGAAACATCATTTTTTTTTCCATTCTGACATCTCTCACTTAATGGTACAGTATATATGATATATATTCTATCTTGTTCTTCGTTTTGTACTATTATTTACTATTTCATTTTTTTTTTTTACATATGTGGCATTGTAACCCTAAGAGTACTATATAGCGTTCCTCCTTCATCCCAGGGCTGCATGCATAATTTGTTTTATGTTCTGCATTATTTTTAAACTAATATATTTTAATTTTTAAATGTTTGAATTGTATAGACTTTAGTTAAATATGTTTTTTTTTTAATATGAAAAGGCACAGAAATGCTATGGCAGTGCTCAAAGGGTTAACTTGACGCCACTAGATTTTCCAACCTTTATTGTCATGGCAACGTGTTAATTTTAGGATGTTTGTTTTTTTGTCATTGTTCTTTGTGTTGCTTTGTGGTTAAATTAATGTCTCTCAATGGTGTCTCCCACTACATTCTACAAAAGATAGCTTAACATCAAGAACAGATGTTGAAAATTAAAGGTCAGACATTGACTCACAAAAAAAAAAAAAAAGAAAACATGCACAAATCAGACAAATAATATAAATATAAATATAAAATATGTGTAAGAAAAAAAAAATTCCAGATAGTCAGTTCAGCAACAAAAAATAAGACTGATTTCAGAGGCTCAGGTCAGGCCTAGTGCAGTATTATGAATATGTTTAGTGCAATGTTCTTGTGGTCACTTGCATACCTGGCTGCATAACTGGATGTTACTGTTTTTCTATTTCACTTACATATATTACATGGTCCTCTGGGGACTTTCCATGTGTTTTACTAAGGTGCAGTTTAACTGCGTGTTTGCTTGCAAAAGTCCTGTTGCAAAGCTTACACTGGAATGTGGAGCCCGAGTCCTCGTCAATAAGACCTATTGAGTTTAAAGCCTTATTTGTGATAGCTTTTGAAACATTCTGTTGTTCTTGAATCTGACTGAGAGAAATCTTTGAAAGATCCTTTAAGCTAAAGCCTAAATGTGTCTCTAAATGACTTATATATGTTGAAGCAGTCCGGAACTGAGAGGCACAATCATTGCAAAAGAAAACAGGATGTCCTGTGTCCAAATTCTTTAAAAATTTTGTACCTCCTGTCCTCCTCAACTGATATTTGACATTGGCCAGCCAGTGGCTAATTGTGGTCATTGAAAGACCAGTAAATTTAGAAATATGCACCCGTTCTTGAGGTCCCAAGTCTGACATTATATATTTGCCTTCAGGTGTTTCCCGTAAGCTTGATGCAAACTGGGCCTGAAGTATGAGAAGATGTTGAGGATTCCAGTTGGACTGTCTACCCTTTCTTTTATGCACTGGTGACAATTCATCCAATGCCTCTTCAAAACTGCTGCCATCTGCATCTGACTTTTCAGATACAGTAGATGGTGTAGATGACTTGGGTGTCAAGCGTCCCGTGAGGTTTTTGACCATGTCAGAAATATCCATCAGTGCGCTTTCTCTAAGAGGAGGGGAAACAGGGTCTGTCATACTCGTGACAAGAGGTTTGTTTTTAGATTTTGTCAAATCAATTGGCTGATCACTGTTCTCATAGTAGTACCGATCATTAGAATCTACTTGTTTGACAGGAGTAGTCGGGTAGACTGGTTTGTCCAACATGCTATTGCTAATTTTGTATAACATTGCCAAAGGATCCAAAGATGGACTAATGGGTTTTGAGACTTTTCCTAAATGAGTATTCATTATAGACTGCAATGCACTCAGTGGATTAATAAATGATGGCTCAGATGAGTGGTCGGTAATAATTCCTAAGCTGTTGCATCCATTAGTAACTTTTGCTTTAAGAGGCTCTGTTCCATTTGGTGTATGTGGCTCCAATGGAACGTCTTTTTTTGCCTTTGGTGCCCTTGGACTTTCAGCCTCTACATTTTTCTTTATAACTTTAGAGTTAGCTTCCTCGGATTTAAGAATGTCTTTGTTTTCTTTTGCCACTGGAGATGTTGGCTTGACTGGACTTACCCTTTCTTTCTCTACTGGTTTTTCATCTTTCTTTATATTGATTTTTCCAGTCACCTTCTCAACTAATTCTTCCATTGCAGAGACATTGCTTTTGTGAGGCGGAGGGGTTAAACTTCCAGGAGAGTGAATCAAAGCATTGTGATCAGATGACATTGATTTGACACTGCTGGCATAAGAAGGCTGCATCTGAACACTCTGTACAGTTGGCTGTAGTGTTTTTACAGTTCCTGGTAACTGATAAGCAGCATGGATACTAGGATACCCTCCCCATGATGGTGTTCCATTCTGAGCTTTACTGATTGCTGAGGACACTGTATTTTCCAGTGATTTTAAAATATCCAGGCCGCCTTTAGGACTGTCATCTAAATCTTCTTCTCTGAGGTACTGGTAAGAGGTTGCAGGCTCAGTTTTTTCAGAGTCTTCATTTTCTTCTTTAATCTTCATCTCTGGCTCTGGACTGGTTGCCTTCTCCTTTTCAATATCTTTTCTGTCTTCAGAAAGTGGAGATGTAGTTGGTGAGTCTGGTTGTTTTTTTATATAAGATGCTGGTAGCCTTGCATGTGTAGTTGGTGGCAAAGGTATTGACTGAATTTTTTCTTCCACCACTGCATCCATGACAAGCTGTTTGCCTTTCTTTGATGCAGAACTGGTCACTTTCAAGAAATGTCCGGTTACCATCATATGAGCAGTCAGCTGCTGCAAAGTGTCATGAGAGCTACCACACTCCATACACTTTAGAATTTGAGCCTTGCGTGCCTCAAACTGCCATGTGTAACTAGCACCATTTTGATATCCATATCTGTTGTTAGGGGTCACGTATGGATTGGCAGTTTTTGGGTCCTTTGTATTATCACTTGCAATGGCCCCTGGGGAGATTCCTGCTTGTTCAGGGGAATCAGGTGAAACAATATCCTGAAGAGCCCGTTTTTTCATTGAGGGGACCAATTTTGTGATGGCGGGTACTGGCTCTTTCAGAGGCACTTTTTGGTAATGCTTCGTTTTAATCATGTGAACACTTAGGTCTTGCAAAGACTCAAAGGAATGTCCACAGTACATGCATTTCAAGACTTTCTGTGCATCTTCCTTCCCTTCCATCTCCATAAGTGATCTCTTTCTAGGTTTAGACCAGCGTCTTGTCCGATCATAATTTCTGTCTCTGTTGTCATCACGATAATGACCCGTTTCATTCATGTGCACAGTCAGTTCAACCAGTGTGTCATAGGCTCCACTGCAATCTTTGCATCGAAACTTGCTGGCACCAGTAAACACAGACCCATACAGTTTATTGTTCTGTCGATAAAGCTGCACTGTGCTAAACAAGCTGGGTTCTGGCAAAAGTCCATATGATGTTTGCTGTAAAGTCTTTGCCAGGGCTGCCTGGTGCCAGTCATACCCAGGACCGTTGTGACTACTAGTGCTGTTAGTTGTACTAATACTAACACTAGTACTTGTAGTGGTACTGCTGCTTGTAATGGTTGGTGTAGTAACAGAGTTAGCCTTTTCATCTGTGCTTTCACTCTGTTGACTTGCATTGGGACTGGAGTTTGATTTTTTCAGATCTAAAGCCAGAGTAGACCAACTGCACTCAGAAAGCAAATTTGTATAGACTGCTTTGATTTGTGCCAAGCTGTCCTGAGGGTAAGATGTGTTGTCCACATTCTGGCTGTCTTCCCTGTCTTGCCCATCCTTAGAGGAAGTACTTTTAAAATCTGCAAGATGATCACTTGCTTCACTAAAGGGTGAACCATAGCCAGCATCCTGATTAGTTGCACTACTGACAGGAGAATTTTGATAGCTGTGAGTCTCTTTGTTGTCTGGTTCCTCATTGAATAAATATTCACTGTCTTGGACATCCAACGAAAGCCCATCATCTTCTACATTATCTTCATCAATTTCAGCTGCCTTTAATTCCTCCGCAGGAACGTATGCTAAAAGGCAAGACATGAAAAAGAAAAAAAAACGTTATAAAAATGAAAATTTTCTTACTAACATTTCAGTTTTTAGGGTGTGTGAAATAGTGAGTGTGAAAGGATGGATAATAGCCCATCAAAGAAATGCAAATGGATTTAAAATGTTTTACAATTATTGAACACAGTATTATATTTCTTAATACAAGATATAAAGAGCACACTAGTCATAGTTTAACATGCAGATGCTGATTGTTATTTAACTGCATATGTCTCTGGAAGCAAGTACAAGCTGTTCCTTGAATACATTTGTCTAAACCAAAAGACAAAAATGTAAGATATTGCAGTTACCAATCCTTAGATGTGGTCGCAGAATTCGTTTTTTTTACATCCCATTATTTTCACCTAGTGATCCTGACAGTAACATTTCCTGTCCTAGGGTGACAACGCTCATTCACTATACAATATCTGTGGAGCAGTGCTGTCACCTTCGGGCAGAACTATGTCTTATGGTATGAAGCAGAGGATACAGGGAGGTGTTCTGTAGTCCTTTCCAGAAATAGCTGGAAACAGTTCTAACGTATAACATTCAACAGAGGAAGACAGCACAGGGAATTGTCAGTTCACAACATTGCTGGCAGGATCTACAGGATTTTTTGCACTTGACAGGTATTAAAAACACTTTTAATGGTATGTGTACCAGATAAAAAGGGAACAGAAGTTCATTGTTAAGGTTTACATATACTTTAAGGTACAGTTGTCTAGCAGACAGGTAGGACTGAGGATCAAGTGAGTATAGCTTTGTTATTTGAGACCCTAGACAAAAATGAGCAATTAACCCTTGCAGTGCAGGGGTATACCCACTGCAGTGTGGGGGTAATTTTTTTGGCCTGGAGTTCTCTCTTCTTTAAGAGAGAACTTAGTAGAGTTTACGAGATCTGCAGCTAAATGGCAGCATACTGGAGTCAACAGAAACCTTTTCAGTTCTATTTCTAACTAAATATAAACTGCTTTCAACATTTTATACCGATATAAATCTAAATCTTCACCATTTCTGGCTTTGAATCAGTTTTTTTTTCTAAATTAAAAATACACCCACGTGCATTTCAGCCATGGTTTAGATTTTTGCTTTTTCAATACAAGTGTGTTAAATGGATAATTAAAAGGAGCTGGAGCTGTTTGCGTTTATTTTTATCAGAATTATTCGGAACTTTGAAATTGTTTATTTTACACACTGTTCAACTTGGAATGCATATATTGTCATTTTGCAAAGCACCTAAAAGATAGTAAGTAATCCATTAAGTAGCATATAACAAGCTCCAAAGATCTCTAATGTTTACATTTCTGAAAGTACACAAACTGCATATGCTTTTCTTGGAGTACATTTCTAGGCCTGAAAAAGCCATGAGTAGAGCAGTACATTCCATGTATTCTAATTATTCAAGAGGTATTTTCACTTATGGGGGGGTCTGTAATATACAGCACATTTTCTCAGATCCAGGGAGAAGATATATGGCCATCATACTTGAAATTAAAGCACATATGTATGCCTTTGTCAACATGTACATACCCCCACCATTCCATCACTCAATTTTGTATACAATTTATGAAAAGGTTGTCTAGTACCATTCTTCCAAAATTGCCTTCACATTTTAATAACACCCTATATCCCAACCTATTGAAAGCACCCAGACTGTAGGGTATTCTCTTGCTTCTCCATAACCCGCAGATCCACCTTGAAAAATTGATTTGCTTTTTTTGTAATAAAACATATCTCACAGCACGTCTTTTGAATCATGCATGCCAGTAATTCATTATTACAATGGACAATAATCAGGCCTGTTGATGCTTCCACCCCAACTGGATTTGGAATTCATGGAACTACTTGGCCCAAGGGTGGAATGACACTGGGGAAATGAATGACTGCTAGTCCACAGATGGTCTGGGATGCCTTTAAGGCCAGTGTATGGGGGTAAATAAAGCCTATGAGGAGGAGATTGAATACTTCCTTGCTCAAAATTTCCCCTCTGCAACTAGATGCATTGCTTTTCTACAAGCAAGGAGTAACTTAAAACTTCACTAAACAACACTGACATTATGAAGAAAACAGAGCCCCTCTTTGAAAAGGGAGGTAAAAATAGAAAATTATCGGCCATATTGGAGTGCTGAAATACCTCTGTCCACTCACATACCATGCATAATTATGCCAGATCTAACAAAAAATACTGATTTCCAGGAAATTCTCTGGGCCTTTTTTCAAATCTATAACATGTTAAGCTCCTATAGTATTCACTACATATGAATTAGAGATGGCCATCAAATACTTTCCTACTAATCAGTCCACAAGACCTGATGTCATTCCCATAGACTGGTACAAACAATACATTGAAAAAACTAACCCAAAGGGGTTGATTTACTAACCTTATAAACACGCCACGAACAAGTATACACCTCTGTAGCGTATTCCCTCCAAGCATGATCTATTGGTGGAATCTAGACACCTTTGTAGTGTGTACACACCCAGCAGGTGTGTTGTGCAAAGCCCTGCATGAATTGCAAGGTGATGTTGTGTAAATTAGCTCTACGTTGTGTTGCTTGCGTTGATGAATGCAGGAATGTAAATGCATGAGCTAACCATTTTTGTCTAAACTGTGAAGCAGCATTATATATGCATCATGTGCATGATTTTTCCATATATGGCATTAGAGGAAATATGCTTTTAGAGACTTGCATGCCGCTATTAGAGCGGCGTGTACCCTATGGCGCATGCTACATGACGCGCACGTACGTAAATACATAAAAACGTGCCATAACGGCGCGAAAATGTGACACGTTGCTCGTGTTTGGTTGATAAATACGTTTTGCTGTGTAAAAATGCACACGCACCTGGTGCGTGCGTTTAGGTTAGTAATTCACCCCCAAAACATCAGTACTTATATACTAATGTCACACCAACTCGGCTCTCTCAAAATCCATGAAATCATGTAGTACTGATTCTCAAATCAGTAAAGGATCCTCTGCAATGCTTGTCATACCAACTATTCTATTTACTCAATAAAGTAAAAATCCGTACCAAAATACTTGCTATTGACCCTTTAAAAAAAAACAGCTTAACCAGATTTATGCCAGAGAAATCTACTGACTTTAACCCCACAGAGGCTTTTTACATACATTCAGACTGTCATGATAATCCTGCAACAAGGCTAATAGTCACCCTAGATAGAAAAAAAAAACCTCAGTGGACTGGAAATAGTAGAAACACATACTTCTCAAATTCAGATTTGGTCCTCACTTTAGACAGTGGATACAATTACTTTGCAAAGCTCCAAGAAACAAAAAAGATGGGTAACTCTTTATCTGCCCCTATACAAATTCATTGAGATGACCAGCAGGGTTTTTGGCCACTTGATGGAACCATTAGTCACTGTGCTATAAAATTACCCTAAAATCTTTGGTCTGAAAATAGCCAGACTGGATGAACGATTGGTTATGTATGCAGATGATTTAGTCCTATGTCTACAAGACTCTAATGAGCTCCTGCAACATGCATTACATATTCTCAATACCTTTGCAAAGATTTTAGGACTCAAGGATTTCATTCAATTGATCACAATACAAAAATACATACTGTCCAGGACTTGCCTCCAAAGTGAGTGGATATATTTTCATATTTGGATATCCAAATCTCTAACTGTGTTGGACTATTGTGCTTTAAACCTTCTCCCTTTCATATATAAAACTGAACAAACACTGAAAACATTTTTCCCCCATTTTCCCTTTCACGTTGATTAGAAAGATGCATTTCATTAACATTAAGGTTACCACTCTCTTTCTTTATGTTTTACTAAATGTTTTTAAGAAATTATCCGAATTTCTACAGCATTCTTTTGGGACTCTCTGTCTTCCAGTTTTAAACCTAAATGCCACTGGGTCCGTGGAGGACTGAACTTTCTTGACCTCCATAAGCATTTCCATGCAGCCTAATTAACCCATGTGCACAGATGGTGAACGGTAGATAAAGCTAACGCATCAGAAATTCTTGAGGCATCCATGCAGGACTGTTATGAGGTACAACAGTGCCTATTTTATAGAGGTGCTCTTATCCCACTACAACAATCTTTATGAAAGCAACTAAAAGGGTCTGGAAACAAATTCACAAGCTAGCACTGACCCAACACATTACATGGTCTCCTCAAACTGCGCTTTGTCTTAATGCCTCCCTCTCCCACTTTGCCAGTATCACAAATCCAGTCATCTGGTCTTCAAGTGGTATTAAAGTCTTGAATGATATTGTAGAAGGTTATACAATTTCTGCTTTTGAAAGACTGAAACAGAAATATGACCTTCTCAACTATTACCTGTTCCACTTCTTACAACTCTACAATGCCTCTGCCGCTCAGTTTGGTAATTCAGTAGAACTGCAAACTTAATCTATTTAGAGCAACTTCCGCTCACTAGTTAGTAGCCACTAGTTACCCCTCCTGCTTTGTGTAAAATCTTAGAAAAAAAGAGACAGGACATAGCAGTTCCAGTTCTACCCTTGCTTTGAACATGAACAGAATACCAAGAATCAAGAAACTTATCATAATAGACTAAAGACTATAGCAGTAGAAGGTCATGCCATATACCACCCTTTTCCATGGTGAAAAAAAAAAAAAAAGCTAAAACGTGTATGCAGTGAGCTAAGATGTCACCATTAAACTGTCATCTAATCCAATCCATTTCAAGTTCAGCTGTAAAACCACAATAGTAAATGACTGGGGTTATGTTTGGGATAAACCTGATCATGGCATTCATAGAATAGTAGGATGCAGATGTCTGGGTGATTGGTTTTAACATGTGATGCTTTAGGAGTCCCTTTCATTGCATGTGGTAGTTAAGGGGCCTCAAAGGTGGTCTAATATGGTACTTTCAAGAGGTTTTATTTTTATGTGATTGAATAAACTACATTTTTTCAGGTACCAAATACCTTATTACATTTACAAATACTGATATCACACAAAATAATACAAATAATAATA